GGAATTTTTACAGCTTTCAATTCAAAACTTAATGAACTGTTGACGGCATTGCATGAGAAATACAAGTACCTATAACATATTTGATGCAGTTTTCAAACACTGCTGCTTTCTTGATGTTACCTGAGATATACATATCCCTTCATACCTACACCAACGTTAAATCTGAAGGCAGTTTTAATTTAAATTATCTGCAATCATATTCAAAATACAGGGTGTAAACGTTATGTTGGTCATTAATGAAACAGGTAAAAGGAAGTCAAAAGGTTCATATGACCCATGGTCCAAAAGTCAATAGATTTTTGTTTAAATGGCTTCGTAGTTTACAACTTTAAGTGCTTTATATCGACCACAATCACCACAATCTTACTAATTTTTATAATCTAAAACGTTTTTAAACTGGGTAGTTAACAAATAAATGGCATTAAGTTTTTCTAAGTTAATCCAAAATTTGTAGTCGGTAAGTAAGTTTCATTGAATGAAATATTTAAAACACACATGACAACAGCGCGTCGGCCTTTCATCACTCTTATCGAACGGGCAATCGATCGCAAACGGTAACAGTGGTTAGTTATCGGGCATCGGGCATGTTTTGTTTTTGTTCGCGTACGTCGTCGTGTTTATTTACAATGTTCTCGAATCAAGAGTATGCTGACATGTTGTTAGTTTACGGTGAAGCTCGTCAGAATTCAAATCTTGCAGCTCAAATTTATCGTGACAGATTTCGCCAACGGGTACACCCAGACAGAAGGACATTTGTGCAAGTGTACCAAAGACTTCGAGATACAGGAAGTGTTCAGCCTACTAATATTCGCACTCGTGAAAGACAGATTACTGTTGAGCAGGAGGAACAAATTTTAAATATCGTGGCAATCAATGCAGATACCAGCACTCTGGAATTAGGCCGCCGCGTAGGACTATCCCATACCATAGTCCATAGAATCCTAAGGGAAAATTTGCTTTATCTCTACCATGTACCATGCCTTGTTACCAGAAGACTATCCTCGCAGACTAACATTCTGTCAGTGGTTTTTGCACAAAAACATTGAAAATCCGGATTTTTTTAAAGACATTTTAGCGACGGACGAATGTACTTTTACGCGAGACGGGATATTAAATTTCCATAATACTCACACGTGGGCCCAAGAAAATCCTCATACCATTCGTGAAGGTCATTTCCAGCAATTTTTTAAAATAAATATTTCGGCGGGTATTCTTGACGATCAGGTAATTGGCCCTTTCGAGTTACCCCCAAAGTTGTCAGGAGGAGTATACCTTAGCCTTCTAGCCAATAACCTACCAGAACTTTTGGAACAGACCTTAGACAACATGCCATTACAACGGAGACAGATTTTCTGGTTTCTTCATGACGGGGCACCACCGCACATTTTTAGAGGCGTCATTCAGTAGTTGAATGAACATTATCCAAATCGCTGGATCGGTCGAAATGCTCGTGATCCTCGAAAATGGCCAGCAAGATTTCCTGACCTCAATCCGATGGATTTCTGGTATTGGGGAGAACTTAAAGGGATGGTTTATGGGGATGGTCCAATAACAACTGAAGCACAACTTCGCGAAACAGTTTTTAATGCGACTGAAATAATAAATGGACAACTTCGATGACCTAGAATAAAATGAAACTGGGTTCGTCGTAATGAAGCTTGTGTGGAAAGTGGAGGACGACATTTTAAACACCTTTATATACAAAAAAAAGTGCAGTGTGGGTTTTAAAAAGAAAAACAATGTATGTATCAAAATTGTGTTTCCTGTTTATAAGTGGATTTTTTTAATACGTTCAATAATCTTTCACACACCAGGTGAAGCGCTGAGACAGTTAGTGGTAAGTCCGCTTTTTTTAATTGTTTGCATTTAACGAGTACATTATCAAATATTGAAATAATACCTAGAGATGAAAATAACAAACTCCATCTTTATTTACACTGTGTTCCGTCGTAATTCGGGGCGTTGTCAGATTTCATTTTACTTTAAAGTCGCTTTTCTCTAAAAAAATGCCGTTTTGACCCCTGTGTTATATGACATGTTTTGCTTCTTTTAACCCACTCTACCACCCATTTAAATAATGACGATCATAACGTTTACACCCTGTATATTCATCATCTGATCACAGACGTCGTATTGGTATATATGCAATCTTTTTTTTTGCTGAGTTGCAAACACCATTGCTTTCTTAATGTTACCTGAGATATATTTGTACATATCCCTTCATACCTACACCAACATTAAATTTGAAGTAGGTGTTTTAATTTAAATCATCTGCAATGATATCGAAATACCTTCATCGGATCACAGACGCCGTATTTGTTTTTGTATACCGTTGCCGTCCAATCAACTTTTACAATACATAGCCCCGGCCATTGGTAGACCGACAATCATCTTTGGCTTTTGTTATTTAACTAATGATTTTCGTTTGTCAGTAAATTGAATTATCTGTTAGAATGACTGGATTTAACCACGGTGCACCGTGCTGAATAACGTGTCTTTGTTGCCAGTGTGGCCTGCTTCGGCGACGGTATAATTGAGGTGCTTTTATTTCATGACCTATTTTTGGAGCCCCGGGTTATTGTCGATCTCACCTGGGGGTATGCCGATCGTCTTCAAATTATAATTCTGTTTTCAAAATCATTTATAACGCAATAACGCTTGCATGAATAAAGATAATTTAAGTACTGGCTTCAAGTTGTAGATCATGAATTACTAAAATGATCGAAAAATGTCGACTGTTTCAGTTACTTAAGTTTTCAGAATGCGGCACTAGAAATGATATTGGTGAATAGGTCTCATTTGAGTAAATCCACTCGAATATGTTTGTTATTTTTCAGTGTTCACTCTACAGTGGAGGGAGACAAATAGTTTTGCTGAAATTTAGATTAAAAGCAAAGGAGGCATGTCCACAGTACCCCGTGTCCAGATGTGAAGGACATACGTTACCACGACGATGTTTTCGATGTAGATCCATTTGGGCATGGTGAAACAAATAAGCAGAAACGTACGTCGCTAGTGTTACCAATCCTTCTATTTCAGCTCCTGTTTCTTTTTTGCCGACATGCTCACGATTGTTCTTTGTTTTTCATATAAATAGGGAGTTCGCCTACTTACCTACTGGACTTATCTAGTAGTCTAGTCTAACTTGTGTTTGTTGTCAGTGTCAGTGTGGGCCGCGTCGATAAGATAAAATTGATGTGTTTTTATATGATGACCTAATGAGTCTCAGCTTATTGTTGATCTCGCTTTGGACTACACAGAATATTTCAAATTCATACCCTCACCACTGGGATCTGTCACCTGCCAAAATCTCGTAACCTTTCTTTTTACTATTTTGACCACTTATGATTAATTTAAATTTCTCTGTATTGGTTATAGAGTGCCCATTCCTAGACCAAACGCTTTTTAATGATTTTCGTTTGTCAAATTTCATAGTTTATTGATTGTAGAATTGCACACGTATTATATCTGACATTCTCAGCGACTCAGTATTGTATTGAAATTTATCTTCTATCTGAGAAATTTCCTCATAAAATATTGTTTGTCCCTCGTAGACAGATTTGTTTCTGCCTACAGTCTGACCATAGGCAACCAGCGCGCCATCTTGTGATTTTTATACGTACTAGCCGTATATGAATGTTTACCTTCCTATCAAGGTACCTTCTGTTAAAATATGCCTTACTGTCAAGATACCTTCTTTACCGGCTTTTATCTGTTCCTTTTGATGTCCTGTCGAACGTGCCTTCTTCAGGGCAACTTATTCAACCTTCTTTTAGGGGATGCTTCGTTGCGTGCGCAGAAGGTCCAGCGCCATTTTCTTTCAGCTGTTATTTTGGTTGTGTGCGGGCCTTTATTTTTCGTTAACTTCCAGATTTTGGGATATTAACGCTCCAAGCACCGGTTTATGGAGTAGTACCCTTTTATTTTGTACCTTACGTTTAGTTGTGTTGGATTTGAGTACTACCACACGTCCATTTTTTTTAAAGGGATTTTAACCTCCAGCGGTAAGTTCTCTTTTGTATACGCGTGAAATTCTACAATCAATACACTATGAAATTTGACAACAGAAAATTATTAAAAAGGGTTTGGTCTAGGAATGGGCACTCTATAATCAATAAAGAGAAATTTAAATTACTCACAAGTGGTCAAAATAGTAAAAAGAAAGGTTACGAGATTTTGGCACGTGACAGCTCTCAGTAACAGTATGAAATACGAAGTCGCTTAAATGGGGGCAAATTTGCGTATTTAGGTAATTAATAAAATACCGGTTAGAAAGTTTTGAAATCCAAAGAAGTTTCGGCGCGAGACGGAAAAGACAAATTTTCCCAAACTCGTTTTAATTTTTTCGTGACTTTATTTGTAGAGGGACTTTTAAAATAAATTGCCTGTTAACGTGGCCACTTTTTCTCGTCTATAAGCTGGCATAATTAGAATTTCAATATGACGTTCTGTTTCTTGTCCTTCAGCATCAACTTTATTTTTTATTATAGACGCCATATTGTATTTTTGCTCAGATGAATAGAGTTCTTAATTCTGACCCCAAAAATGTGTTATACGTCTTAAGCCCCCCATTCATTAGTGGATTGGTGTGACGGATTGGTTCGTCCTGACTTGTCCGCCGACCGATCCGCCAATATATGGTATCGAAAGACATGTCGCACAGCGGTCCGGGTAGGGTTGTGAGTTCGCTTGTTTGAATACCGAACCTACGACCCGACCGCGACCAATCCGTGCTGTTTTTACAATGTGTGTGTAACTTGTCAAGACTTGTCCGGCGACGAAAGAGTTCTTCCGAGATCAACGAAAGTATCAAGGCATTTTTGAAGGGAATTCAAATTAAAATGTCTTTTGAAGATAATAAATCTTTTTGGGAGGAATTTATCCAACTTTACCAGGAAATCCTTGTCTTTGGGACATCAAGTGTAAGGATTACCGCAACAAACAGAAAAAAAATGCTGCGTATGAGAATTTAATTAACAAAAGCAAATAAATGTTTCCAGATGCCAACAAGAAATTTATTATCAAAAAAATATCGTCCTTACGGTCATCTTTCCGACGCCAGATAAGGCGAATTAATAGTTCAAAGAGAAGTGGGGTGGGAACAGAAGATGTACCAGAACCTACATTGTGGTATTTTGATCTATTGTCTTTCCTGATGGATCAAGAAGAGTCTCGTGCAGCGGTTTCTTCGATAGAAGGAAATAACCTAGATGACCAATCACAGGCCTCAGTAAGTAGATATTTTAACTAACAAATAATCTAAAAAGACAATATTTATAATAATTCAGATATTTTATTTCAACACATATACTATCTTAAACTTATCTTAAACTTAATATACAAATTTGTGTTGAAAGTCAACTTCACCTGCATTATTATAATATTCTTTATATCCATTTCGTATCATCTTTGCGTCAATAGTCGGAGATCCTTGCCTGGACACATCTAACGATATTAGTTCTCGATTCATGTGCATATCGCCTATCAATACAGTCCCTGAGATAATGTCTTCAGTATCGATGTTACTAGGTTGTATGTAAGAAGTGCTTTTGCGGCGTAGAAAGTTGTGTAAAACACAGCATGCCATAACGATATCATCAACTGTATCCACTTTAGTAGCTATTGGCGTTAGGAAAATCCTGAATCTATTTGCCATGATCCCGAATGCGTTTTCTACTACGCGCCTGGCATGGCAAAGTCGATAGTTGAAACATTTTTCTTCATAACTAATACTGTTGGTTTGTCTGTATGGCGTCATGAAATTTGTCATTAGACTAAAATCTTCGTCCCCAATAAACACAAAGGGTAATTTATTTTGAATTCCTCGCATATTGACTGGTTGGGGTAATTTTAAAGAATCTGTTATCAGTAAATTGTAAAAATCTGTTTTCTTAATGACCCCCCCGTCTGATATTCTTCCATTAGTTCCACAACTTACATAAGTAAATTCATAATTAGCATTTACGATAGCAAACAACACAACACTGAAAAATCCTTTATAGTTATAATAGTATGAACCACTTCCTGGGGGCTGTTTGATAGCTATGTATTTGCCGTCTACGGCTCCTAAGCAATTTTCAAATTGCCACATATTCTTAAATCCTTCTGCTACTTTGAGCCATTCCTCTTATTTTGATGGAAACTGAAACCAAAAATAACACAGCTATCATATGAGGCAAAGTTAACTGTGAGCTATTTTATTGCAGGAAACCGATGCATACACAAAACATTCTGATCAAGATTTAGATTCATCATCAGTTTTATCGCCTGAAGCTCCTCAAAGTGCAACACCAAGTTCCCGTAACAAGCGAACTCTCAACTGCACAACTTGGACACAAAAGAAAAATAAATTTTTGGATGCTTCCATAAAAGTATTGGAAACTCCGCAACAGGATGTTCTTGAACCACAAGAAATAACATTTGGCAAAAATACTGGTCAACAATTACAGGATATTGCAGTTGGACAGAAGATAATAGCCCAAAAACTGATTTCGGATGTGCTATACCATGCAAAATTGGGAAATCTCACACATTCTCTACCAACCACCATCATATCAAAGTGCCCCATGCGTTCCGCAAGCACAAATATTTCAAAACTCATGCTCCAGGTATACAACATCCATTAACCCAACCTTTAATGAACCCAGCACGTCATATACACGTCAACCAGATGTACCAACTTTTACCACTTTGACAACTCCAAATCAGGCGTCTGCAAATAGGGAAGTGATGGAAGAATTTTTAGTTTTTCCCAGGCAAAATAATTAAGAAGTGATAAGGTACTACGAGTATTACAGACTGATTCACATATCTGTAATTGTTAGACATAATTTGAAATAATAAAAGTTTTTTCAACACTCTGTTTCTTATATGCATCAGAATACATGAAAAAAATAATTATTGTACTTACACATAAGTACTTCTTCCGGAAGCAGTTGTATATAGCACGACACGTTTCTGGAATTATTCTTCCAAGTAACTGAGGAGAAATTATACAAGAAAACTTTAAGTCTTCATAACAGTTGCCAGAAACCTCAAGGTGGCCAACAGACGTTCTTCAACGCTTACTGCTTCTCTGAATAAAGTGTTCTTCTTTTCTATCAGAGGTTTTACTAGCATTAATAATTCTTGGAATGCGTCATAGTCCATTCTGAGGTAATTTATAACATCAAGTGGTTCACATGATTGGATACATTTCAATAATCGCAAATGAGTAAATTGTTCTCTCTTTTGCAGCCATTCTTTCACCCAAACACATTTTTTCTTGTTTTCTGATTCTAATAATATGATTGTACCTACAGCCAAAGCAACTTTCGCCTTTTTTGATAATATCGGAGACATAATGCTATTGGGTTCGCCACATTCAGTGTACAAATGAGCTCTTTTGCAGGGTTCGTGTAATTTCCGTCTAATGTATTGACAAACGTGGATGAGTCGTCAGTCGGGTCCCGGTTGCCGTCCGAGTTCAGGTCCGTCTAGTGAATGGCCCGCATTACAGTGACATTGCCAAACAAAATTTCCTGGGTAGGCCTTGAAATTATCAGTCATTTGTTTCGTATACCAGATTTGTCCCAAAATCATTATTATTTTTTCCGGACTTTTTCAATTCGAGATTTCTTCTTTCGACTTCCATCGCCAACTTTGTTTTTCATATGGTTTCTATATTAGAATTTTGGACATTTAGATGGACTTTTCAGTCTTAAATTCACTGATATATTTCTTTAGTTGGCATACACTTATTTTTTGGAGTAAATTATAAGGTAAAAAGGTATGACGAAAACTGAACACAAAATGACAATTTTATTGATGGTAATTTGGTAATAAGAATAATAATCATAAATAAGCAGAGGTAAATCATAAATGTTTTCCGCTATTTTGTAGGCAAAGCCCGACTCCTCTATAGATTGATTTCTGCTCGATGTATGTCTCTTCTTCTCAATCTTCCAAACTTTGTTACCATGTTCAACTTGAGGTCTGGTCTGGTACACGAAACAAATGACTATCTGATAATTTCAAGGCCTACCTAGGAACTTCTGTTTTTCTGGAAGGACTAAGGTTTGGTAATCTCAATGTATGACATATACCAGAGACAAAACGCCATACTGAAATTCTAATTATGGCATCTTATAGAGGAGAAAAAGTGACAATGTTAATGTGCAGTTTATTTCAAAATCCCACTACAAATAAAGTCAGGGAAAAATTAAAACGTAGGGTCGAACTACCTGACGCAGATCTCTAAAATTGTAAAAACTTGGACTATAAGATACTAGGTTAGTTTGTCGCCGGTGTGAGCCATTTAGACAATATAAGAATTGACGTACCCAAACCTCAAGTTATTGTGTATCTCATTTGTCGATCAGTTTCGGTGATCTTTATACCTTTCACGGCGATGTTATCAAAAAAATTGGTATTTCGGATTTTCAGGAAGTTGTTCATAAACTACTGTTTCGATCACATTTGTACAGTACATAATAATTAACGACGATTTGATATTTGATTTAATAGAACCAAAGCGCTGGCTTAAGGGCTTACGGATGTTATATAGTGAACTTACTCATTAGTGTCATACTTATATGTAGATGTGTAATATTAGGCAAGAGCTAGAGCTGTTATGGCAAGTAGTTAGGTATTTATGTAGCTAAAGGTATGTATGCAACTCAAATAACTGTTCTACTATCCGTCCATCACTGCATAACTCAGACTTAAGGGAAAGTTCGAGAAATTTCAAATTGCACACAACGTTTGAGTTTATCTACTTGACGTAGTTCCCAAAAATTGCGAATCCCTAAACGGAAGTATGTCTTCAAACTTAAATTCATGATTGAACTTCAGAAGATCAACTAACTTTTTTCAAACTACATACCTTCTGTATACGAGGGATGTCTTTTAAGTTTTTCATATGGAAATAAAACAACGCGGTAGGTAGTTTTAAATGACTTTATTGTTTTTCGAAGTATTGTCCACGAAGATTAATACACATCTGCATGCTTTCGAACCAATTTTCGAAGCACTTATTCCACTCGTCTGTTTTTAATTTTCGGGAAAGTAAAGAAATCATTAGGACTTAGATCGGGACTATATGGAGGATGGTATAATAATTCCACTTTTCTTCCGTTAAATACTGCGTTGTTTTTTGGGCTGTGTGCGAGCTTGCATTGTCTTGGTGGAGGATGATTCTTCTTCCGGGGTTGATTTTTCGAAGCTCGGTGATGACTTTTGGCAAACAAATGATGGTATACCAATCCGCAGTAACAGTTCTTTGCTCATTAAGGGGAATTGTCGCAATATGACTCGCTTTTGACACAAATGTCGCGACCATCTTTTTCGAAACACTTCGAGAACAGATGACTTGTGTTGGCCTTTCTTCACCTTGGAACACCCAAACAGCCGACTGTCGTTTATTTTCTGGTTCGTAACAGTAAATCCACGATTCATCACATTTAACCATGCTGTACACATTTTTTGAGTTTCCAGAATTGAAACGGTCTAGCGTTTTTTGACACCAATTAACCCTGGCTGCTTTCTGCTCTTCAGTCTTCTCCAACGAGAAACTAATTTTCTTACTCCTAATTCTTCATGTAAAATTTTTTGAATTGAGGTCTTTGAGATCTTCAAGCACGCCTCAATCTCGCGATATGTCACATGTCTATCTTCAATGATGAGTTTGCGCACAGCATCGACGTTCTCCTGGGTGACTGCCGTTTTTGGTGCACCCAAGCTGGGATCGTCGCTAAGACGTTTGAATTCTCCATACCAACGGGAAATTGTCGACCGATGTGGCGCTTCGTTGCCAAAAACAGACAGTAACTCACCAAGGCATTCTTGTTGCGATATTGTCTCTGAAAGTTGTAATAAATTATGGCGCGAAAATGTTCTCGGTTGAGTTCCATTTTTCTAATGACTTGGTGACACTTAAAAACTCACTGTAGTCAGAACACTGCACGTATTGTTGTGAAACCTTGAATTTAAGTTTACTAAAGAGTGAGGTTAAGATTCAGTACTAACGTTCGATCCGCGCGACCTACTATGTTTCTATATGCAAAACTTAAAAGACATCCCTCGTATGTACATTAGTGTTAATGTATATTTAAAGAATATTTGGTCAGTTCAGAGACAATGAAATGCTCTTCTTTTTGAAACGGTTTCCTCCTTCTATCAACTTTAGATAGAAGCTCTAATGCACCTTTTTTCTTTAGAATGTCTCAAGAAGCCTAGAAACACGCCGAAGCGAAAAAAAAGCCAATTTTCAAGATTTGTTTGAAAAATTTTAAGTTTTTTTTATGGATTTTGGCCTGGCAACATGCAGATTCGTTGAAAGGGGATTTTTTGAATAAGACTATGCAAGAAGCCGTAGGTGTGGAGTGGGGGCAGTGCCTTCCCTAACGTACCCCTGCAGGCGCCCATGTAGCAGAGTTCAATTTCAAATGTCATTGATTATTTGCTTATTAGATGCTTTTTCATTATTACTATCCATGTAAACAGAAAAAGCTACTTTTCTTTGGAGGATTGCGGTCAATAACTAACTAACTTTCAGGTTAGTCGTGAGAAAACATTCTACAAAGCTTTACCATTATTTCCTTGTATACCATTATCCATAACTGTTTCCATTAAATCTAATTTCATCGTCTTTCATACAATTTGTAAGTGTTGCCCTGTCCTATCATTTATATTCCTTTCTTTTCACTGATTCAGGTAAACCTTCAAGATATATCGCTATCGTAGTCTTTGTCATTTGTCTGGATTCGTCCAAATAACGAAAGAACAAACGAAACGATACAATGACACAAAGAAATCCACTTGTTCTCTATAGGCTAGTCATATTGGTATCAATTTGAAATTGGAAAGACAAGAGCTGCAAAAACAATGATAAAGTTATACTTTATCTGAAGTCACTTGAAATAGCATAAAAACCTTTGGTCGGCGCGTCCTTTGTAATTTCATGACGTATCATAGGCGTGCGGTCATTTATTTAGAACGATAATAATAATGTTTTTATATCACAATAAATGGACTTTACTATCTTCTTATTTTTTTGATTTGGGATAAAAAATACTTAAATTGGTAGTTTAATTTATGTTGACTGAAAGTTAAGAAATGGAAAAATTACAGAATTCCAACGTTTGACATAGGCAAATATTTACATAGCAGGTTGGTATATAAAAAGCTATACAAAGACTTACATTATAGGTATTTATATATCATCCTCGCCTTCGGAGCTGTCGCTAGAGTCATCTTGTAGAGGAATTACAACGGGATTTACAGGAGGCAAAACACAATATTCATTTTCTTTTTCAATAATATGCATAGAACACTGCTTCCATAGGTCTGTGGCAGCAATATGAGATACTGCATCTCTTATTGTGGCCAATAGCGATTCACTTAATTGAGGGGTCTGATTATGTTTTCTTACTTTTTTTTTTAAAGCAGCCCAGACCAACTCAATCGGGTTAAAAATGCAGTAATAGGGAGGTAGACGTAATACTTCATGGCCATTTTGCTGAAGCAGATTGTCAACAACATACTCTTTTTCAAATGTTTGTCTTTTAATAAGATCCAATAATATGGCTTTGGTTGACTTTTGTGGTATTTCCATTCCCTTATCCTTCATAAAATCAATAATGTCTTGTGTTTTTGTGCCTGTATTCGGAATTTTGTTTTTCTGTCGGGAATGGTATGGTGCATTGTCCATAATAATCACTGAATTTGGGGAAATGTTTAACTGCTGCTCTATCCACTTTTCAAATAAGTCGGAGGTCATGTCCTCATGATAGTCGGCACATGATTCTTTGATATTTTTGGCAGATAACAGCAAGGCATTAGGTATAAATCCATTTTCACTGCCAGCATGGAGAATAATGATTCGTTTTCCAAGGTTGCATGGTGCATTTAAAATGCACTTGTTGCTGTCGTCAACCCAGCCGTACTGCACAACATCATGGGTATCATACCACGTTTCATCCAGGTAAATCAGATTTCTTTTCTGCTCTCTATAGATTTTAACTTTGTGCAAAAATTCTTGGCGCAATTCAACGATTCGAGACGACTCCATAATCACCATTCTTTTATCTAATTTTTTGTATTGAAAACCACACAGTTTTACAATACAGTGCAGTGAGTCTAAGCATTTGTAATTATAAAAATCTTCAGGATAATCTTTTAATTTATCCCGTATCATTTCCAACGTGGGCACCAAATTTTCTTTATAAAATCCGTATATTATACGACGAATATCTTCCTGAAAACCCACGTCTATTCTTTTTAATTTTTGCCCTATGCGCTTTCTGTGGAAGGAATTTTTTTTTTTTTTTATTTAATTACCCGCTTCGACCTAAAGGCCATTA